TCACCAGTTCCTCCAAAAGGAAGAGGCTGCCAGGATCACTGCACTGAGGAAGGAAGAGGAGCAGAAGAGTCAGATGATGAAGCAGAAGATTGAGGAGCTCAGCAGAGAAATATCAGTTCTGTCAGAAACAGTCAGAGCCACAAATGAGGATCTGAGAGCTACAGACGTCTTTTTCCTGCAGAATTACACAACTGCAGTGGAAAGGATCGAGCAGCGCTCGCTAATGGATGATCCACAGCTGGTCTCTGGAGCTCTGGTTGACGTGGCCAAACACCTGGGCAACCTGACCTATGATGTCTGGAACAAGATGATGCATGAGGTCTCCTATTGTCCTGTGATCCTGGACCCCAACACTGCAGAACCAAACCTTAGACTGCATCAGGATCTGACAGCTGTGATGTATCAACACACAAAGGGTTGGGCTCCAAGAAATCCAGAGAGGTTTGAGGGCTATCTCACAGTTCTGGGCTCGGAGGGTTTTGACTCAGGGACTCACAGTTGGGTGGTTGAAGTTGGAAATAATGCAGACTGGGCAGTGGGTGTGATAGGAGAGTCTGTCCAGAGGAAGGCAGACATGCCGACTGGATGCTGGAGTGTTTGGTTCCGTGATGGTAAATACAGAGCGTTCTCACCAACAGTGAAAGACAAAGCTCTCTCAGTGAAAAAGCCGCTGCAGAGGATCAGAGTGCATCTGGACTGCAAAAGTAAGACAGTGACATTTTCTGATCCAGATAGAAACACAACGATGCACACATTCCCAGTGACACTTACTGAGAAGCTTTTTCCCTTCATCAACACACAAAATGCCGTTCCACTGGAGATATGCCCAGTCAGAGTGTCTGTGAAGTTAGACAAAGGTGCTTTTGTTACCAGAAGACGGTTATTAGGTGAATTAGTAGGTCTAACCTCTGCTATTGTGTCATTTGTTTTTGGAGCAGTATACTAAGAGAACATCCACTGTTCTGTTTTAATCATGAGTGTCTATATGTGATCTTGCTGGTATTTTCTCGTCTTAAAGCAAATATCATGGGTGTGCAGGAAGACACCCTCTACCAGCTGTTTCAAAAATACACACTTGTGTGAAATTTTGTGTAAAAGATGTAAGTTTAGAGCATTTTAATGGAAGTCAAGGTTTGATTTGGTTAATCTGGGTTTGCACGTTTAACCCTAATGCACCCATTTTTGTCCTTCAGGACCTCACTGTTTTGAATTTGCCACTTAAGGGTTAAGGACAAAATCCACATACAAAACTTAATTTAAAATTCAAATGATATGTAGTCTTCACTTGCTGGTTTAAAATGAAACACTGCTGCAGAGGTTCAATTTTAGGTGTTTGTTCAATTTTTATGTGTCGGAAGTGTGTTTTTGGTGCACACACACACTCCATAGAATCAGAGCGCATCTGGACTGGAAGAGAAGAAAACTGATGTTTTCTGATCTGAGAACTCGTGCAGACGTTTATGCATCCTCACAAACTTTCACAGAGAGACTCTTTCCACATGTGTCTACTGCAGAGCCAGTTCCACTGAGGACATCATCAGTGTGAAGGTAAAGGTGCTGACTCCCATAGAAAAAAATCATAGAATCATGCTTGATCGTCAACGATTTGTGAGGTAATAAAGCAGTATATAGCAGTGTATAATGTGATGATGGTCTAATTGTAATGTTTAAAAACATAAAGTTGTGTAACTTTGTGGACCTTTTTTAGAACATTTTTGGAATCAAAACTACTCCAGCTGGGTAAAATCAACACTGTTAAGGAAACAAAAATCATCAAGGCTTGAAAATACTNTATTCATAATAATAATTATTAACAAAGTAACCTGGTTATCACACACTGTAAATATATAACGTTTAATGTGTAGTAGTTCCAGACATCAGTGATCAGACCTTCTCAATTACCAAAAATTGGTGTAAGTCATCCATCCATCCATTATCTATACACCACTTAATCCTCACTAGGGTCGTGTGGGGGCCGAGTCTATCCCAGCTGACTTAGGGTGAAGGCAGGGGACACCCTGGACAGGTCACTAGTCTATCACAGGGCTACACTTTTTTTTTAAAGCACCATTTGGGTTTTTTCTTTTTTTGTACCGAAACGTCAGCCAAGGGGTTTGACAACCCTTGGGTGGATGACAAAATAGGTCTAACACATACTCTTCCATGTCCTTGTAGTCTTGCAGATATGGAAAACATGGATTGGCCTTTACAAAACATTTTTTTTACATTTCTTGGGTGATGACTCCATAGATTTTGCATACAGTTGTTCACATGAACAGAGGAGGTCTGTAGACCAGTTAACAAGGTAAAAATGTGGTTTTCACTCAATATCAAAAAGTGAAGTAATGTTATGGATACTCAGTGAATTCTCTTCATATGTTATTGAAAAGGACAGATCCTTTAAATATTCCTGCAGTTCAAATTACAATGAGCAATGAGAGATGAATGCATTGGCATGCAACACACCCTTGGTTGGTTGTTTGGTTGGTTTAGTATTTAGCAGAACTGACAACTTCCACCCACTTTTGGATGGCCAAGATATAAACCAGGAAACACAGTTTGTTTGTTGAGAGTGAAGACAGCCAGCAAAAGACAGTCAGTGGAATACACGGAGTCCACCGAGACAAGAAACAAGGAGAGACTGGGATT